AACACAATAAGTATCGCCCACAACACTAGATTACATTGTCAATAAACAAACCAACAAATACGGTGTTGTTGAACATGTTCCAGCATGTCACTGTAGGAGTTAGGGGCAGTGGGGGAAGTCCTCTGTCCTTCACAGAGTGATGGATGTCCTGCGTGTAGGGCGTGTAATTGGTGGCTGTTTTCAATCTATCAAGGATCGGGATGGTTTGAGGAGTACAGTGGTGTTTCCGTTTATATTTGTAAAAAATGTCTTAAAATAACATTTAATCGTGAAGTATTCGTACGGCGCGTCGCGTTCCGCGCGCGCCTCTAAGAGCCATCAGACCACCACGAATGGGGCCCAATAGGGCTGATGCCAATACGGAGCCGCGGAGAACCTAACGGGTTACCGGGGCTTCGGCTTGAAGTGCAGGAGTAGGAACGGGATGGTTTTAAGTCAGTAAGAGTCTGACACACCCTCTCGCCTCACAATTTTCCCCCCTTAAAAAAAGTATTTTACGTCTAGTCAATACTAGGTTACTTAGGGTTAGTTAATTAGGGAGATAATACATACAGATTGCCTCGTTGGCCAAGTGGTTAGCGAGTGCGGCTACCGGACAAAGGGTCTCGGGTTCGATTACCGGGTCGGGCAAAGTATTACTAGTTTAAAAAAAAAAACTCAGTAATAGCACGGAGTCTGGAATTGTGCCCGGTATATGGCAATAGGCTCACCCCCTATTACATGGCGCTTATAACATAAATAGTGGAAAGTGGGTGTTCCATTGTACAGGATTAGATGCCGTAATGTGCACCTCTGTCCACCCTTTCGAGGATAAAAGGCGTGATGTAATGTTATATAATACATACACACAGAAGTTGACACAAGGATAATAGTCTTGAGCGTAATAAGTTGTTCTTTGTGTGCAGTGATTTTAATTACCTACATAATTTTATATTAAAGACAAAACACCAGTTTCTACCTGATGAAACATTGTAAATCCCCCAACAGTAATAGCTGTCAAAAAAAAGCCGCTCGCCCGTCGATAAAAATTCAATCGTATCATTGCTGCTTCAGTAGGCAAGCGATGTCAAACCATCAGAGTAATCCCGGCAATGTATTTCAAAATAGGCGACGTTCACACGCCACTGACTACCCGACCTAATTGCCCAGTGGACAGTATTTTGTCCTATTTTTTCTGTAGGCCATGCGTTACTTTAAAGGTGATTTCTATTTATAAATAGGAGAGGTGTGACTAAGAGTTTGTTTATAGATTTACTAATTGCTGTCTAGCAAAAATGAACCTTATGGGGGCCTTTTGTCACAGTTTGATCTTGTTTTTTGTGCTATTCATTTAAGAGAGGCTTTTATTATGTAGACTAACGAACGACATTAAATACGTATCGAAATAAGTTGAAGCATTACATTGGTCAACTTAAACCTCTTAGAAATAGCAGCTCATAAGTTCATAACATAACATAACATCACGCGTTTTTATTCCCGAAGGGGTAGGCAGAGGTGCACACAGAAGTAACACCCACTTTTCACTATTTATGTTATGAGTCCCATTGCCATATACTGGGCACATTTCCAGACTCCGTGCTACTAGTGAGATTTTTTTAAAAACCCAGTAATACTTTGCCCGACCCGGGAATCGAACCCGAGACCCCTTGCCCGGCAGTCGCACTTGTGACCACTCGGCCAACAAGGCAGTCATAAGTTCATAATTGTTCAAAAATGTCTATAGACATCAATAGATAGCAATTAAAACGTCTGAAATCGTTTGTATTCTTGCTGACATAAATCTAAGACAGGCGCCGAACAATAGAACAATAGGTCTAAAAATAAAACGCAGGTCGATGCGAGCTAAAAGCATTATTTTAAACGGATTGAAGGTTGCACTCCGCGCTCTTAACTCTGGGCTATGCAGACGAGCGCGCGAAATGCGGTAGTAACAGGGAACTCACGGAGTTTTATAGCAGAACTACATACATCGGTTTATTTTTGAAAATATCAAGGAATGTAAATCTTTAAAAGTGTCATCTGATAGTAATAGGCGCCATCCATGGAAACCAGAAAGGCTACAAATGCGTTGGCGGTTTTTTGGCGATTTAAGGATGTGAAACACCGCATGAATTGTTTCATAAAGGTTTCAGTAATTTCAATCGAGCCAGTCCATTCGTGCCGAACGTATGGCTGACTCACATTTTAAACTCTCTTTTTTTTATTTATGGCATAAGCCGGTAAACGAGCAGACGGATCACCTGATGGTAAGTAATCGGCGTCGCCCCTGGACACCTGGAACACCAGAGGCGTTACAAGTGCGTTACCAGCCTTTTGGGGATTAGGAGTTTGAGGATCGTTGGGGATTCAGGAATTGGGGAGATTGGGGAAGGGGAGGGTAATTGGGCATCCGGTAACCTCACACACACGACGAAACACAACGCAAGCGTTGCGAGCGAGCTCCGGTCGAGCCGACCCATTCTAAATTAAACAGTCTTCTATATCTTCAGACATGTAACATGCTAAAGACTGTATGTTCAAAACATTACAAACGGTTCAACGGTTCAAGATGGCCGACAGCACTCGCTCGTCTGTACCCTACTCATCGCATTAACACTAACTAGATTGGCCTGCGCTCATGTGGGCTGAGATATGAGCAGAGCTCTCTCGGATTGTGCTTGAATTATATTATCTGCTCAATTTTCTGCCACTCCTGTATGCTCGATATTTGTATGCTTGATATTGAGACATTTGAAGAGTATTTGCGTCCCTTTGCATGTCATTTGTAAAAATATTCGAAAGTTTTTTTGGTATTTTTGTGAATACCGCTTCAGTTTCCATTGGAATATTTAGCATATTTTTACTACTTATACAAGCAAATTGTAATAATTTGTAAATGAGCCATGCATTAAATAACTTTAAATCCCTTTCTAATACCTTAGTAGCGTCATAAATTCTGTCCAAATGGATGAAGTAATAAATTCGTTTAAGAAAGCAGAAATGCCGCAGAATAATAAATGCCTGTTACTTTGCTGATCAAGTCCCTCCTAGGTCGAATCAAACGACCTCGTGGTTGTACTTTCATTAAAAATGAAACTAAAATTCAAGTTACAAAACAAGGGGTCTTCTTGCTTCTAAAATGAAAGCACCAGAAATATCTTGCAACATGTTCTGGAACAGCTCAAAAATAGTAACGCAAGCAGAAATATACTAGTTCGAGATCCCGTGCTCACCCGGCCGGCAAATACGATCTCACACCCACTGAAAGTGCATAGCATTCAGAAATGCAACACCATTTTAGATAAGGATGTATTGAATTAAATTGTCTTGGTTTTCAATTCCAAGTGGCACATTTTTCGGTTGGTCGGATTATTTTCCTTCTTGTGGACGCATGAAATTTAGGTTTTAGGATAGATAATGCCATGATGGGTCTTCTACTTTGATTTTAAGATTTTTTTATTTATTTGTTTATTGCACACACAGAAAAAAATTGTAAACATTGCAATAGTAATTTGAGTAGAATGGGCGGTCTTATCACACGCGGCGATTTCTTCCAGACAACCTTTGGATGGAATTTTTGAAAAGAATCTGGGAATGGGTGGTAGATGTACAATAAAATAAAACCAAAATAGAAGAAAAACAAACTTACAGACTACAGATTTTCAACTATGACACGTTTCTTCATATACTTCACGGTGCATTTTTGGGGTTTTCTAAAGCTACCTTCTCGTAAGGAAGCCGTCTTTTTTATATTTGATGGGCAGACGTTTAGCCACTGTCTCGCCTGGTGGTAATTTTTTTATGGCTTATGCCATAAAAGATTTACGGGCTTATGCCCGTAAACGAGCAGACGGATCACCTGATGGTAAGCAATCGGCGTCGCCCATGGACACCTGGAACACCAGAGCCGTTACAAGTGCGTTACCGGCTTTTTGGAGAGTTTGAGAGTCGTTGGGGATTCAGGGATTGGGGAGATTGGGAAAGGGGAGGGTAATTGGGCCTACGGTAACCTCACTCACACGACGAAACACAACGTAAGCGTTGCTTCACGTCGGTTTTCTGTGAGGCCGTGGTATCACTCCGGTCGAGCCGACCCATTCGTGTCGAAGCATGACTCTCCCGAGTATTGAATGTCTTGAGGTAATGAAGTCTTACAAATTTATAGCGTGTAGTATTCATTATTTTTTCTTTCTTATCCTAAACATAATTTGGACTTTGAAGAACATAAGACATATCATTTACTATGTTAGGCTATTAAATTCTTTGGCATAACCTAAACCAGAATTGCAGTATACTTATTTTTTTGGTCTCAAAACGAATCCTTATTTAGCGAGTTGTGAGCAAGCTTGTTGGAGGAAATTTCCAGTTAAATTGTAAGAGAATAGTAGTTATTGCGCTATGTTGGAAGGGTGCCAGGCAGAGGTATACAGCTGACGAGCCAAACCGTTCCACACTCAAGACCAACTTTGACCATAAATTGTGGATTGCAGTACAAAATCTTGTTTATTTCGGAATTTATTTTCGACTTTTTAGTTGCTTTAAGTAGTTGCTTGTTTAAAATGTTATGTTATGAGATTTTATGGAGTGAGTATTTTAAATGATAGAAGGAGTTATGCAGTTTTTCTCAAGGTAGCGATTCTTGATTACATCAAATACTTAAGTGAGATCTTCTAATAATTCTACTTTTTGAAGTTGTCGCAGTTCGTTTGAATCATTCCAGTTGAAGCTCTTTTAAAGCGGAACAATACAATAGGTATAAACAATCCTTGAGCATTTTTAAGGAGAAAAGTGAGCAAAAACTATATCTCCAAAACTGAATAGCAAAACAAAACTTGACCAACGACAAATGCTGAACAATAAAAAGTAATAAAACTTGGCTCGCCTCACCCCCGTTATGACGTAACAAAACTAATATATTTTATAGTCTGTGCACTTAAAACTTTCTGTTTCGTAGTAAAGTACTTTAAAAGGCACCTTTTCTTGTGACGCGACGCCTAAAACCCAATAAATCCTTGACTCACCAACTCTGGTGGTTGTTCCAATTGACCGTGCGGGCGCGGGTGCGGGCGCGGGTGCGGGTGCGGGCGCGGGTGCAGGTGCGGGCACGGGTGCGGGCGCAAGCGCCGATGGACGCGATGGACGTCCCTTGTACTCACGTTGACCGCTAGGCGTTTGCATAAGAGATAAGTTTCAAACGCGCGCTCCACCGCTAGTTCGACGCGTACACACATACATATTATACGTCTCTAGACACTACCGCGAGCGAGCCGCGCGCTCGCTCTCGCTAGTTTGCCCGCTACTTATACCGCACCTGCGTTTTTTACTTGAATACTTGGATTTCGAGTTATATGTAAGATGTATCGTCGCTCCCGCGCCCGCGCCAGCGAATCAGCGTGTACAAGCACTTTGGTTCTCGCGAACATCGAATTGCCTCATCAATACAAAGTTTTTGAATCCAATTACTAAGTTTGAGGCGAACGAGGCAACCAGTGTTACTAGACCCCCAAAATAGCTATGCTCAGGGTTGCCAGAATAGCTTTTTAGACGGTTTTTTAAATTGATGTTATGTAATCTATCGTTGTAGCTTTTGTTCTGGCAACATTTGATGGTTGCTGTTTTTTATAGTAATTTTCTTTGTCTCGTAAAACATATTTCGCCATCTGGTTTTGTCTATTAAGTTATTGTTTATTCGAAAGAGGATTTCTTGACTGATGTAATTGTAAAAGATTAGATTTCTATTCTGTACACCGCAGTTAATGTTACTAATACTGTTCTAGGTTTACTTTCTATATTATGATTAACCTCCTTACAACCTTATTTATTAGAGCTTTCCAAATTACACATAGAGCCTATATTCAGCAGTGAACATCTCATGACTAATAAATTAGGTTGATCATATATTAATATTAATTCAATCACATTTGGAATATGCTCCTATTTTTGTTAAATATAGTAATACTTTAACCAGTATCCTAGAGCTATCAACCCTATCCCGGTACCGTTATCTCATTCTTTCAAAGTCCGTGACGTCACGGCTCAACTTACACTGGTGCTGACTTGACCGTTTTTGTTCGCGTTCCATACCGTCATTAGACAATTGTTTTCACCATGACACGGTGTTTTGTCTCCATGAAAGTTGAGCGTTGTAATTAAAAAAGATACCGGTCATATTTGTATATTTAGAAAACAAAAGGACGTTTTTCTGTTTTGCTTTTATGGGGCGCGAAGCGTATAAAAGTTGGCGCCATTAGTCATATTTGTATATTGGTTAGATTTTTCGTATTGTTATAGAAATTGTGGTAAACGTTTGTATTTCTGGAATAGCTATATATGTGAACATGTTAATAGGAGAACTTTTAAAAGTGTGATCATGATTTTAAATGAATTAATGTTACTTATGTTGTAATATAAAATAAGGCGAAAAACGCCCACAAGGAAGACTCCAGTTGCGTTGGTACAATGACAACAAACGAAAAGCTGGCACAAAATGGATAGAAATTGCTTAAAACTAAAAGAGATGGCAGAAACTGAAGAAGGCCTACACCCTAAGGGTCTCAAAGAGCCATCAGACCACCACAGATGGAGCCCAATAGGGCCGATGCCGATTCGGAGTCGCGGAGAACCTAACGGGTAACCGTTAGGTTCTCCGCGACTCCGAATCGGCATCGGCCCGGTTACCCGGGGCTCCGGCTCGACGTGCAGGAGAAGGAACGGGGTGGTTTTTAGTCAGTAAGAGTCTGAAACTCCCTTCCGCCTCACCCAGGCGGGAGCAGTCATTCGATGATTTTCCCCCCTTAAAAAAAAAAATACACCCTAAGGGTAGAAAAAGGCTAAAGAAAAAAAGAACATAAAATGGATTGCAATAACTATGCGATTACTTACTTTCATATTTGAATTCTATGTAACTTTGTATTCTATGTAATGTATTCTTTGTATTCTATGTAATATTGTACAAATTCGAAGAAAAAAAAATATTAAAGTTACAACTTTAATATTTTTTTTTCTTCGAATTTGTTTGAAACTTTATATGGAATTTTGAATCCCATGTTAAAAGAATAATAGCATTTTTCACCAACTATCCCTAAACTATATCCTAACTAGGAGTTTCTTAGCGTGACTTAGGACTTAAACTTACCCCTTACTTGTACTGTTTGGTGTAACTTATAGATATTGTAAACGAAAATGATGTTAAATGCCACCTTTTTTAGCAGACGGGTTCTGTAAAATTTAGCAGAGGTGATGAATGAAAGGAGGCTTTAGCCTATATAATACCGTTAACATACTAGACAGTTTTATGAAGATTATTATATACTAGCTGTGGCCCGCGACTTCGTTCGCGTAAAATATGAATTTAGGAACACTACAGTTTTTTGTTTCAATTTTCCAAAACAAAAGTAGCCTACGTTACTCCTTCATACATCAGCGCACTGCCAATAAAAGTCCCGTCAAAATCGGTCCAGTCGTTCCAGAGATTAGCCAGTACTAACAGACAAAAATTGTAAAGAATGTTATTTCGGTATGTGTATAGTATGTAAATTCATACGGATGTAGTATAAAGCGGTTATTTTAATATTAGAAACATACATTCTAATTTAATATATCTGTATAGATGTTTACAGAAGTAAGAGTATAATAATTATAATTACACACAGCTTTAGTACTGTTTGCGTCCCGTCCTGTGTGTGACGGGTTTGTGTGGGAACCGTAATTACATTAACACATTATGTTAATACACGGTTGTAGCTAATTGAGTAGGAGATAATTAATCAATAAGCTGTTCACAGTTGGAGATATTCTCGTCTTAGTTGGCAATACCTATTGTACTTATCTTAAACTCTTATACTATTGTATAAAGCGGAAGAGTTTGTTTTTTGTTTGTTTGTTTGAACGCGCTAATCTCCGTAACTACAAGTCTGATTTGTATAATTCACCAGAGGCGTTACAAGTGTGTTACCGGCATTTGGGGATTAGGAGTTTGAGCATCGTTGGGGATTCAGGGATTGGTGAGATTGGGGAAGGGGAGGGTAATTGGGCCTCCGGTAACCTCACTCACACGACGAAACACAACGCAAGCGTTGCTTCACGTCGTTTTTCTGTGAGGCCGTGGTATCACTCCGGTCGAGCCGGCCCATTCGTGCCGAAGCATGGCTCTCCCACACTTATGACTAGTCGCCATGCGATGTAGCAGAGACTTTCTCAGCAGCAGATGTTTTGAAATTTTAATGATGACAATAGATTTTGCGAAAACATTAGCATACACTCTAAATCCTTGAGAATCAAAAGTAAACAAGGATTAAAACCTTCTTCATATGTTCTGTGCTTTAAAGCCATAATTAAAACGATTGACGAAAAATCCTTTTCACGACTGAACGTGAACGTTTCTGTATTTCGCAATCTGAAACCGTGTCAGTGAGGGAGGTATTTAATTTGTGTCACATTAATTATACAGCGAGGGAAACCGGCAGTACGGTAACTTTTGCCTGAGATCCGGCGCCGGCTGCCGGCTGAGGAACAGTACCGGCTGCGAGTTCAATTTTACATTATTTACCTTCATTTTATATGACTTTACAGTTTCAGTAAATACCGTTAAGGAGCGTGAAATTTGAGATTGAAACTTTCAATTCGTAAATTATGAGGGGAAAGACTAGGGGACTTTTGGTGTTACATTGTTCTCGCACAATCGAACCAATAAAACTGTGTAACTGGAGAATGTATTGTGAACCTGATTGGAAAAGAGTAACCTATGGAGTTTCTTGCTCGTTCTTCTCCATAGGAATCTACACCTTGGAATGAGCAAATAACTTCTCTTTTAAATTTCTATTGCTGACGTTCAAAATTGCCTTCCTGGTCTAATTGAAATAAATGATTTTGATTTTTACTTTGACTTTGACTTTCTCTTGAATCCAATTGTAAAAAGTATGTAAGGATCGTAGTAGGTGGCGCTCTGTAGTATCTGACGAGTCAAAAAAAACTGTATTTGTGCATTTATGAAACTAGAATAAATCAAAGCGTCCAAGTTTAAGCAGTCTTATCCGTTAACTTCTCTATATAATTGTTTACATAAAACAATTGAAAGATTAAAAAAATATATTTAAAACAAAAAAAATCAGACTAGAAGATTTATAGTTAAAGTTAGATTAGAATAAAAAAACATTTACGACTTGGAATAAATTCAATACTGTTTGAAAGTGTACAGAGATTGTATCAAATCTAAAAAAACATGTGATCCATCTCAATTTATATTCTAGATAAAAGTTAGTACTTAGATAGATAGAATACACGACTCCGTTGAATTAAATGGATTGTCTCCGTCTGATATTTAATGTGAGATATCATCATGCCTATAACAGTGGTAAGAGGTAAACAGAGCTACGCAACCAATTTACTTATTAGTCTTTTATACTAGAGAGTGCCTATTGCCACACATCGGTCACAATTCTAAACTTCCTACTATTCTGGACAATTGATAAAAAATAAAAAAATCATTAATACGTAGCCGAATCAATGACCAAACAGGTAGTCAAGACTACCTCTAAAATGCAAAATAATACAATACACCTGAAACTTGCACAAACCCAAAACTACAATCATAATATAGTAACATAAACAACAGGGCAATTAAAAATAACTAAAACAATAAATCTTGTAATATACAAACAATAGCGCACTTGTAATATACAAATAATAACCCACACAATAGATGAAACAAAATTCATAAACGCTCGAAACAATTCAATGACCACCAAACGTTTAATAAAAAAAGCAATCATTTGTAGCCACGCTGACACCGTGAACAGGGAATGTTAGGGTACGTCCACATCCAACTCGAAAACAATTACTTTATCTAAGCATAATTTATATTAAGTATATTGGAAATAAATAAGTATATTGAAAAATGTATGCATTAACCCGTCGTGTGTCGGAACGTAGATCTACGCGAGACACAATGCATTTTCTATTGTGTCTTATATACCGGCAGTCAAGAGGTTAATCCTACTCATACTTATAACAAATGCAAAAGTGGGTACATTTGTGTGTTTATATTAAAACTTTCGTGAGACGAGACATACTAATTAATTATTATGTTTTCGGCTAACAGTATGTACACCCAAAACTCTGAGCAGCTACAAATGCTTTTTTTAGCACGAGGTTTCGTTTAAGCTAGTTGTGGAAACACG